CAAGTTGCATTGGGAGCAGAGACTAGGGAGGAACCAATGTGTAAAAGAATGCCTGGACGTCAGGTACTTCAGACCATTTGCCCATTTTTCGACAAAAATTACCTAGATCTCGTAGGATGGAGAAATCAAAAGTGCCGTTTTCTGACCATTTAAATTTGTATTGGGGCCAAGCGGTGTTGTAGAAGAAAATAAGACGCTTAGATTTTAGGTCAGGCGAGAGTTGAAGAGGTTTTAAGTTCTTGAGAACACAGGCTAAGGGAGAAGAAGGAGGAATGGAGGGTGGAAGCTTGCCCATAGTGAAGGAGGCAAGTTTAAAGAGAAGGGTAGAGACACGGAGAAGGGGGTGGGGAGCAGCCCTGGGCTGCAACGTGGGTGAGCAGCCAAAGCAGGTGTCCCCGCAGTTGACTTGCCACCAAGGGAACGTGGGTAAATGATCAAGGCAGGCATCCCCACGGAGATCAGACACCAATGGAAAGTGGGTGAATAATCAGAGAGGCGTCCCCGCAATGATTAAATACAAAGGGAAGACTGCCTTCCGGAGTCCGTGACCGGCAGCGGAGTTTTGGGGCCACGGATAAAATGTGTCTCCTTTGTCTCTACCAGAAAATGAAAGGAATTGAAATTAAGAGAAGGAAGAGATTGAAGGGTGGCGCCAAGATTGAAAGGAGAAAGAGGTTGAGGGATAGTGAGAGAGGCTGGAGAAGAGAGTAAAAAGAGGCCGCTTACCCGATTTAAAATCGGTGAGATGTTCCTTGAAATGGTTGGTCTGAGGACCCCAGGTCGTAGGTGGATCTCTTCAGGGAGTGAGGATGAGGACAGCGGACTAGTCTCCCGAAGGAGTCCCGCTGACCGGGGTCTTCAGCACCAAATGTTTCACGTGTCCATGTGAAGAGACCACCAAACAGGCTTTGTGTGAGCAACAAGGCTGTTTATTTCACCTGGGTGCAGGCGGGCTGAGTCCGAAAAGAGAGTCAGCCTTCACTCTCTATTTCTATGAGTTCATCAGTTAAAATTTTTGAACTCCCATACATGAGTGAGAACATGTGAAATTTGTCTTTCTGCACTGGCTTATTTCACTTAACATAATGTCCTCCAGTTCCATCCATGTTGTTGCAAATGACAGAATCTCATTCCTTTTTTTTGTTTTGTTTTGTTTTTTGTTTTTTGTTTTTTTTGAGACCAAGTCTCACGCTGTCACCCAGGCTGGAGTACAGTGGTGCTTTCTCGGCTCACTGCAACCTCCACCTCCCAGGTTCAAGCGATTCTCGTGCCTCAGCCTCCCGAGTAGCTGGGATTACAGGTACATGCCACCATTCCTGGCTAATTTTTGTATTTTTAGTAGAGACAGGGTTTCACCATGTTGGCCAGGTTGGTCTCAAAACTCCTGACCTCAAGTGATCCACCTGCCTCGGCCTCCCAGAGTGCTAGGATTATAGGTGTGAGCCACTGTGCGGGGTGATCTCATTCTTTTTTTATGGCGGAATGATTCTCCATTGTTTGTGTGTACTAAATTTCCTTTATCCTTCCATCTGTTGATGGACACTTAGGTTGATTCCATGTCTTGGCTATTATGAATAGTGCTGCAATAAACATGGGAAAGCAGATGTCTCTTGGATATACTGACTTCCTGTCTTGGAAGGAAAGGAACTGCTGAATCATGCAGTAGTTCTGGTTTTAGTTTTCTGAGAAACCTTCATACTATTATCGATAGTGACTGTAGTGATTTACAGTCCCACCAACAGCGTAAGAGGGTTCCCTATTCTCCACATGCTTACCAGCATTCATTATTGCCTTTCTTTAGGATAAAAGCCATTTTAACACGAGTGAGATGGTATCTCATTGTAGCTTTAATTTGCATTCCTCTGATGATTAGCGATGTTGAGCATTTTTTGATATACCTGCTGGCCATGTGTATGTCTTCTTTGAGAAATGTCTGTTTAGATCTTTTGCCCATTTTAAAATCAGATTAATTCGGGCGTGGTGGCTCACACCTCTAATCCCATCACTTTGGGAGGCCGAGGCAGATGGATCACTTGAGGTCAGGAGTTTGAGAGCAACCTGGCCAACATGGTGAAACCCTGTCTCTACTAAAAGTACAAAAATTAGCCAGGCATGGTGGCACATGCCTGTAATCCCACCTACTTGGGAGGCTGAGGCAAGAGAATCACTTGAACCCAGGAGGCAGACGTTGCAGTGAGCTGAGATCGTGCCACTGCAGTCCAGCCTGGGTGACAGAGCAAGACCCCATCTCAGACACACACACACAGACACAAACACACACACCACACACACACACACACACACACACCCCAGATTATTTGATTTTTTTTCCTATTGAGTTGTTTGAGCTCCTTTTATATTCTGGTTATTAATCCCTTGTCAGTACCATATAGAAAGGCTACTGATTTTTGTATGTTGATATTGTATCCTGCAAATTTAGTGAATTTATCAGTTCTAATAGCTTTTTGATGGAGTGTTTAGGTTTTCTTTAAAATATAAGATTATATCATCTGCAAACAAGGATAATTTGACTTCTTTTTTGTTTGTTTTGTTTTTCCAATTTGGATGTCTTTATTTCTTTCTCTTGTCTAATTGCTTTAGCTCGATGGGTTGTAAATATTTTCCCCCATTCTGTCCGTTGTGTCTTCACTTTGTGGATTGTTTCCTTTGTTGAACAGAAGCTTTTTAGGTTGATGTGATCCCATTTGTCCATTTTTCTTTGGTTGCCTGTGCTTTTGATGTATTACTCAATAAATTTTTGCTCAGACCAATGAACTGGAGAGTTTCCCAAATGTCTTCTTGTAGTAGTTTCATAGTCTGAGGTCTTAGATTTCAGTCTTTAATCCATTCTGATTTGATTGTTGTATATGGTGAGAGATAGGGGTCTAGTTTCACTCTTCTGCATATGGATATACAGTTTTCCCAGCACCATTTATTGAAGATAAATCCTCAGCTTCCCGAGTAGCTGGGATTACAGGTACATGCCACCTTTATTTTATTGAAGATAAATGGTGCTGGGAAAACTGGATATCCCACAGTGTATGTTCTTGGGATCTTTGTCAAAAATGAATTCACTGTAGGTGGGTAGATTTGTTTCTGTGTTCTATATTCTTTTCCACTGGTCCATGTGTTTGCTCTTATGCCAGTACCACACTGTTTTGGTTACTATAGTTTTGTAGTATAATGTGAAGTCAGGTAATGTGATTCCTCCAGTTTTGTTCTTTATGCTCAGGATGGCGTTGGCTATTCTGGGTATTTCGTGTTTCCACATAAATTTTGGGATTAGTCTTCTAGTTCTGTGAAGAATGTCACTGGTATTTTTATAGGGATTGCACTGAATGTGTAGATTGCTTTGGGTAGTCTGGACATTTTAACAATATTGCGCCTTCCAATCCATGAACATGGAATATCTTTCCATTTTTTTGGTGTGTGTCCTCTTCCATTTCCTTCATTACTGTTGTATAGTTTTCATTGTAGAGATATTTCATTTCTTTGGTTTATTCCTAGGTGTCTTATTTTATTTGTGGCTATTATAAATGGGATTACTTTCCCTTTTTTTTTTTTTTTCAGATTGTTTGCTGTTAGCATATAGAAATGCTACTGATTTTTGTATGTTGATTTTGTATCCTGCAAGTTTAGTGAATTTGTTTATCAGTTCTAATAGCTTCTTGATGAATGTGTTTCTCTTTTTCTTTTCTTTTTTTTTTTTTTTT